CCTCCTCGTCCTCCTCCCCCTCCTGCTCCTCCTCCTCCTCCTCCTCGTCCTCCTCCCTCAAGTTACATTTGGCTCGGACCAATTTGGCTCACCAGAGATGGCTCGAACCAGGTGGCCGTGCAATCCGCACCGGGTGGGGTAAGATACGCGGGCAGTATCCTTGACCCATCCTCGGACTTGAGGGGGAGCGCCAGGCGTCGCGCCGCTGGAAGTTGTATGGTTTCTTCTACCTCCAGGCTACGGACTGGGAGGTTGACCACCACGTCACCAAAACCGATTGCAGGTCCCAGGAGCAGGTGAGCACCTTTGTGGGTTTGCAGCGGCAAACTGGGAGAAGAGAGAGCCTTTTTGGCCAGGCATGCCCCACTATATCAAATCTTGGTTTCTTATTATTTGTGCTGTTGCAACCGCTATTATACAGTGGGTTGTTTTGCACGACTTTCGGCATTTTGTTTGGAAGATTGCTCCGGAAACATGCTACCGACCTTCGAGCCGATGCTGAGCGTTCAGAATATGTCAAGCACGTGGTGGTTGCAGCTTTGTGGGAAAAGAGAGAGCCGTGTTGGCCAGTCATGCCCCACATACGGCTTGTTTTTCCTGCAGTGGCGGTCTTCTTGAGGAAGGAGATGGGGTGCGCTGCTGCGGGGCGCTTTTCTCCGCGTCGGAGGGCTCGTTGCATAGCGTCGTCGTCCTACGTTGCGGTGTTTTGCGCAAGGCACTACAATTCACGCGTCAAGAGTACGTGGCTTGGTGGGCTTCAGCAACCCTGTGATGGGAGAGTGCCGTTTGTGGATTGGAAGCCTCGTTCTGCGGTTGTTAGCTGTGCGGGAGAATGGACGCACGGGCGCCAACAGGGTGAGCATCACATTGAACGTGAACTGCGGGCGTATCCACAGGCCGCTCCTATCCGTTGCCGTGGGCGGCACGGCCTCTGCCTCCATGTCTTCCACGTCCAGGTGCTGTGGGAGATCAACAATTTGCATGTGATTGAGTTCGCGGCTCGGGGATTCGGCCCGGACGAGGTGGAGGAGGAGGATGACGATGACGATGAGGACGAGGAAGAGGAGGAGGAGAAGGAGGAGGAAGAGGAGGAGGAGGAGGTGGAGGAGAGCGCCATCGACAAGGAAGGTGGGGGCCACGAGGTCCGCTGGCTCGACGACGCCCGCGTCGCCCGCGCCCGCCCCCTCACTCTTATCCGCAATTGCGGGGTGCTACGGGGGCGGGCGGATAAGTATATTCTGCCCTGGTAGTGGCAGGGAGGTGGAGGCCCGCCCTGTTTCTGGGGCTGGCTCGCGACCCCACGAGCCTGCGCAGCGCGCGCGGGAGGGGGGGGCGCGGCGGCGGCGTCGACCGCGTTGCCCTCAGTTCTCGAGTCCTCGAGTCCTCGTCCTCCTCCTCCTCCTCCCCCTCCTCCTCCTCCTCGTCCTCCTCCTCCTCCTCCTCCTCCTCCTCCCCCTCCTCCTCCCCCTCCTCCTCGTCCTCCTCCTCCTCATCCTCTCCCTCCCCCTCCCCCACCCCCACCAGCCGTGCTACCAGCCGTGGCGACGAGGCAACGAGGGCGTGGTTGCTGGAGAAGGTTGAATTTAATTGCCTCTCCTCGGGGGCCTCCGCTGCCCCGTCGTGCTGCTTCCCGTGCCGAGTCCGAGTCGAATCCGTGTCGAGCGCGGCGAGTCCGCGCGGCTTCCGCGTCGAGCCCACGTCGAGTTCGCGTCGAGCCCACGTCGAACCCACGTCAGACGCACGAGAAGACCTCCACGCACAGGACAGGCAAGGCCTCCCGAAGATGCAGCGTGGAGATCGGGGGGCACGGCGCGGGGGTCCCCAAGGCGGGCCTCCCGACCTGCCGTGGGGCGCGCTCTGTGGCCAGAGAAACCCCGGAGGGAACTCGGCCGTAGAGGCAGGAGGCCTCACGGCAGCCAGGCGGTATCAGAGAGCCCCAGAAAGACGTGCACGCTCAGTCAGGCGAAGATGCCCCCCCAGTCGCGCGTCGGTGCGATGCGTACTCTCGAAACCCATGTGGATTCATGTGCCCGGACGCCTTTTCTTCCCCGGGCACCCAAAACGGGTACAGAAAACTGGGTACGGCATCTTGCCCCCAAACCGACAGCGGCCGCTGTTGGGCAGGCGACCCGTAGTCAAATGGACAAGGCTCGCGACGACACCGACCGCGAATCTGGTGCAAAATGGGCAGGAAACGCGATTGGTCTTCGCACCCACTATGTATGTACCTATTTCGATCGTACCGATCGTCGCTCCCGAAAAAGACCCCCAGAGGTGCAAACACTCCAACCCTCGAATCGGGCGTTGGCAGAACTGGGTTTAGTGGGACCTGGTTTAGTGACGTGTACTGGGGGGCGCCCCCCAGGCCCCGTTCCACTAACCAGAACTGCTGTCACCAATAAAAACACCAACTACGGCAGACCTGGTTTAGTGTTTCTGGCCAATTCAGGGGCCCGGGCCCCTACTACTAACCGGGTCCCCTAACCTGGGGTCATGGCGATGCCCGATCGAACCTCGATCACACACGACGACGACGACGGCGCCGTCAAAGATCGGTCCCCGGACCCCTCCCAGGGCCTGTCCTGGCCAGGCCCTCCGACACCCGCCGATCTGGCCTCTTCGATCCGCCGCCCCAGAGGCCCTGGGCGAGGGTGACCCGTGGTGCGCGGCTTCCGGGGCGGCGCGAGGGGGCCCGAGCCCAGCGCGCAGCCGCTGCTGCCGCCCCTCGCTCAGCGATCGGGGAGGGCCCGTGAGCCCGCAGCACGAGGTCACTCTGGCCAAAGGTCACTCCCACGCGCAGTCGCCATGTGTTCCGTCCTGGACTGCTATTTTGCTGATCCTCCTCCTCCTCCTCCTCCTCCTCCTCCTCGTCCCCGGGGCACTAGGCTGGCCCCCGTGGGCCGAGATCGGGGGAAAGCCGCTGGTTGACAAAAAGCCATGTCCTCGGAGAGCTGGGCCTCTGAGGCTTAGCAGTAAAGGGACCCCCACAACGAGGGGGCCTAAGTTTGGAGGGCCCAAAACAGCTCAGGGGGGAGTCCTTTTCCTCCTCATTCTCCTCCTCCTCCTCCTCCTCCTCCTCCTTATCTCCGCCTCCTCCGCCTCCTCCGCCTCCGCCTCCTCCTCCTCCTCCTCCTCCTCCTCCTCCTCCTCCTCCTCCCCCTCCTGGTCGGCGTCGATGTCTTTCAGGGTCGGCGGCACCGGCCGTCAGGCCTTCACTAACTTAGGAGGGCCCACAACATTAGGGATAGAGGGGCTCAGCCCAGAGTTACGACGGCTCATGCAGAGACGGGGACGCAAGTGAGGCCACGTCTGCACCGTGTGATCAGGGTTAGGGGTTCTCTTGTTCTCGATGGTTTGAGCTGCGCCCAGCCGTGGCGACGACCACCTTCAGGTACGCCCCCCAAAACCTCCTAATCGATGTCCGACCAACTTCTCCTCCAAACCTCGTTCCCCAGACCCGCCCCAAGGTCCATCCTGGCCAGTCCTCGCGCCCAGCCGTGGCAACGACCACCTCCAGAGACGCCCCCAAGAGAGCCTCCAAAACGACGGCGGCGACGACGTCGGCGTCGACTGTCGTCGTCCTCGTGAGCATCGTTTAACCAATCCCCATCCCCATTGGCATGGCCTTGGCCCATTCGCCAGGTTACCACCCTAGACGGGAATATATGCCGTTCCCTTGAAGTATCGTAGGACATATGCCCACCGGGACGGATGACCTGGTAAGGCTGAGTTATTATGGCCCAGTGTGACGATCGAACGAACGACACACACACACACACCCATACCCATTGGGGGGGTGGAAACTGCTATGGGTGCGCGTTGTCGGATGAGGGTCCCCGCTCGAACGGGAGCCTCCACCAAGGGTCCGACAACCTGCACTCACACCCGTAGCCGGTCATCCTCCCTCTGTAAAAGAACAAAAAACGACATAAACGTAAACTGTTGATGGTCCGCGCTAATTTCTTGGATCTGAGCTGGACCCCGCTTCCTGCCGCGCGGAACGCGCCAGGGGCGGCGCCGGAAGCGCCGCCAGAGGGACCCCAGCGCCGATCCAAGAAGTCCGCGCGGACCGTTCAAAACTTATGTGTATGCCGTTTTCTCTTCTTCGACCATACAGTCGGCGGCGGGCCAGAATAACACCCCTCAAGAACACAGGCCCTCCGTCAGCCAAAACACACGAGCATCCAAGGGTACTCTCCCCAGGGTGCACAAGAGCATCCGACAAACACGAAGAACACTGCAGTACGGGCGCGACCGCAAGAGAACCCTCGCAAGAAATCCAACCCTGAAAACCCGCGCGCGAGGTGCACCTGAGAGGAAACCCGGAGCACCCTGAACGCAGCCGCTCCTTCCCCAGCTGCGGGAAGCCACCGCGCGGCGCGCGGAGCGAAGAAACCCAGGATACCAGACGAAAAGCATATGGTTTCTTGATGCGCGACCCCACTGTAGGGCACCCTCCCCGAACCCGTAGCCGGCCCTCCTCCCTCCGACCCCTTCCGACCCCTCGGACCCTCCGACCTCCCGTAGCAGCCACCGCCTGCTGGCGGACATTCCATGCTGGCCTCTGCAGGCGAGGACACATACGTGCAGCTCTGTCTCGGCAGCCGGGAGGTGCGTGGCACCCATCCGCGCTCCCTTTAACGAAATGATGGCATACAATTGTCCTAGCCCTAGGCCCCTACTCTGGGTTTCTTAATAAGCGTGGGGGGTACCCCCCCGACTGGGGTCAACCTCGCCTCGTCGTCGCGCCGCGACGGGGGTCGGAGCGCCTACGGCGCGCGGTGGCTGCCCGCGACGGGGGTCGATGTGGGGCTGCCAGCGGGGGTGACGCACCCCCCGACGCTTCTTAAGAAACTCGGAGTGTAATTGTCCTAGCCCTAGGCCCCTATAGGCTGAATCCAAAAACGTCCGACCCCTCGATGGGTGTAGATGCGTGTTGCTGGCCCGTCGCATCGGGAATGGGGGTCGGCCAAGCCGTGCCGATTCTCGGGGCGCCCGGCCTCCAGGAGCCAGCCAGGCGGGGGGTCCCGCTCCAGCGCGTCGTCCACAAGCACGATCTTGCTGGCCTCGCCCCGCGGGGGCTTCCCCGAGCGACGGATTGAGGGCGGGCCGTTTTCAACATGTGGCTCTCGCCGCGCACATGCGTCTCAAACTTCGCAATGCGTTTCACGGATTGAGGGCGGGCCGTTTTCAACATGTAGCGTTCGCCTGAGCACCGCGCGAGGGCGGGTCGTTTTCAAAATGTGGCTCTCGCCTTGGCGCCGCGCACATTCGTTTCAAACTTTGCGAGGAGCTTCACGGATTGAAGGCAGGCCGTTTTCAAAATGTGACCCTCGCCTGAGCGTACACATTTGGTTTTCAAATTTGCAAGGAGTTTCACGGATTGAGGGCGGGTAATTTTCAAAATGTGGCCCTCGCCTTAGCGCCGCGCACATTCGTTTCAAGCTTAGCAAGGATTTTTACGGATTGAGGGCGGGCCGTTTTCAAAATGTGGCCCTCGCCTGAGCGCCGCGCACATTTGCTTTGCAACTCTGCAAAAGGTTTCACGGATTGAAGGCGGGTCGTTTTCAATCTCTGGCCCTCGCCGTAGCGCCACGCACATCTGATTTTTCAAACTTTGCGAGGAGCTTCACGGATTGAAGGCGGGTCGTTTTCAAAATGTGGCCCTCGCCTTAGCGCCGCGCACATTTGGTTTTCAAATTTGCAATAGTTTCACGGATTGAGGGCGGTTCGTTTTCAAAATGTGGCCCTCGCCTCAGCGCCGTGGTTCTGGCATGCTTCAGGGTCTTCAAGCGATTGTCTTCCAACGAGGCAGTTACCTCAGTGGAAATGCACCCTTGTATGGGCCTCTGAAGAGGGAGCTTCGAGGGAGGGTTTATGCCAACATCGTTGATGACTCTGGGGGTTTACACTGGTCCTCCTCCTCCTCTTCCTCCTCCTCCTGCTAAGTTTTGCCCCCAGCCCGCCTCGAGGGTCGAGGAGGATTTCGAAGGTCTTCGGATGGTGATTGGACGCTTTCGGTCCTTTTCGGGCCTCCGGGAACCTCCGGGGACTTCTGGGGGTCAGGATCCGGGGCGGGAGCAAATCTTACCACCACCACCACCTCCTTCTCCTCCCCCTTCCCCCTCCTCCTCCTCCTCCTCCTCCTCCTCCGCCTCCTCGTCCTCCTCCTCCTCGTCCTCCTCCTCCTCAGCGACCTAACTTTCCAGGGATCTACAAAACAGCACCAGGACCTTTGAACCTGAGTCCAGGTCGAAGACTGTCTGGGAATTGGTTCGGGCCCTCTTGGCATCATCTTGGGCTGGCCCAAGACGATGCCAAGATGGTCCGCTTGCGGTCTAAGTTGGCCGAAGATGGCCTCAGGAAGGCTTCAGAGGGTCACACGACAGCCCAATACCGCTCCAGGACAACTTACGATCGCCTGAAGCAGCCCAAGAGGTCCCCAAGAGCGCTCCAAGAGAACACCCGCGAAGGCCCCGTTTCTCCTTTTACTTATGCTTTCTCACTTCCCCTCCTGGCGCGCCGACGGTGTCAATTTTCGAGTCAAACTCGGGTCTCCAGCAGCCGTTCGGAACGATCCGGGCATCCCCAAAAAATGCTCTCGGCGAGGCGCAGCCGCTGGAACGCATCCCGAGGAGAGAAAACCGCCAAGAAGCGACGAGAACGCCCGAAAACCTCGAACCTCGAATCTCGAACTTCCCCCGCGGGGGAGAGGGCGCTTCCAGAGGCCTTTGGGGCCCAGGGGGCACCTGGGGCGGGGGTGGGTCTCCTCCTCCTCCTCCTCCTCCTCCTCCTCCTCCTCCTCCTCTTCCTCCTTCCGCCTCCTCCTCCTCCTCCTCCTCCTCCTCCTCCTCCTTCTCCGCCTCCGCCTCCTCCTCCTCCTCCTCCTCCTCCTCCTCCTCCTCCTCGCCACTCCTCCTCCTCCTCCTCCTCCTCCTCCTCCGCCTCCTCCTCCTCCTCCCTCCTCCGCCTCCGCTCTCTCCTCCTCCTCCTCCTCCTCCTCCTCCTCCTCCTCCTCCTCCTCCTCACTCCTCCTCCGCCTCCTCCGCCTCCTCCTCTCCTCCTCTCCTCCTCCTCCTCCTCCTCCCTCCTCCGCCTCCTCCTCCTCCTCCTCCTCCTCCTCCTTCCTCCTCCTCCTCCTCCTCTCTTCCTCCTCCTCCTCCTCCTCCCCCTCCTCCTCCTCCTCCTCCTCCTCCTCCTCCGCCTCCGCCTCCCCTCCCCCTCCTCCCCCTCCCCCTCCTCCTCCTCCTCCTCCTCCTCCTCCGCCTCCTCCTCCTCCTCCATTCTCCTCCCCTCCTCCTCCTCCTCCCTCCGCCTCCTCCTCCCCTCCTCCTCCTCCTCCTCCTCCGCCTCCCGGCCTCCTCCTCCGCCTCCCTCCGCCTCGCCTCCGCCTCCGCCTCCGCCTCCGCCTCCGCCGCTCCTCCTCCTCCTCCTCCTCCTCCTCCCCTCCTCCTCCTCCTCCTCCTCCGCCTCCGCCTCCGCTCCGCCTCCGCCTCCGCCTCCTCCTCCTCCTCCTCCGCCTCCTCCTCCTCCGCCGCCTCCTCAGCCTCCTCCCTCCGCCTCCTCCTCCGCCTCCTCCTCCTCCTCCGCCTCCTCCTCCGTCCTCCGCCTCCTCCTCCGCCTCCCTCCTCCTCCTCCTCCTCCTCCTCCTCTTCTCCTCTTCCCCTCCTCCTCCTCCACTCTCCTCCACTCCTCCTCCTCCTCCTCCTCCTCCTCCTCCTCCTCCTCCTCATCCTCCTCCAGCGCGAGGTTTCCAATCAACAAAGAAGACAATGCTGGTTTTCTGTTTCTGTGTCAGAGGGGGACAGCGCAAAGTCGATACTACAATGTGAACACGAATCAGCAGCTAACAAGCCCGTCAACAGTCTCTCCGTCGCGACACCTTGCAATCCATCCGTTTCGCCGCACGAAGCGTCCCCCTTTTGGAATCAAGCAGTCAAACGCACACTCTGCGTCCCAACCATCCTGTGGTCAAAGATCATCGTTTTGAAAAAAACGGCGCTTAGCGTTCTCCTCCCGCCTCCTTCCCCCCGCATCCTTCGTCCTCCCATCCTTGCCTCTGCGCTCCACGGTCCGCATGCCCGTATCCCCAGCCCTCCTTCCTCTGCCCCCTCGCCCCTCCTCTCCTTGCTTTTGCGATGTCGCGCCACCGCGCCCAGTTCGGCACGCCCCTCACACGGTTCGTGGCCTCATAAGGAGCTCCACCGAAGGCCCAGCAGGAGGGTCCGCATGGCGCCATTGCACCCTGGTCGGCACACCCCTCAGGCGGTTCGTGGCCACATAAGGAGCTCGCTCCACCGAAAAGCCCCAGTGGGAGGGTCCGCATGGCGCCACCGCGCCCTGTTCGGCACACCCATCAGGCGGTTCGTGGCCCCAGAAGGAGCCCCACCGAAAGGCCCCAGTGGGAGGGTCCGCATGGCGCCACCGCGCCCTGTTCGGCACACCCCTCAGGCGGTTCGTGGCCACAGAAGGAGCTCCACCGAAGGCCCCAGCGGGAAGGTCCGCAAGGCGTCACGACGCCCTGTTCGGCACACCCCTCATGCGGTTCTTGGCCCCATAAGGAGCTCCACCGAAAGGCCCCAGTGGGATGGTCCGCATGGCGCCACAGCGCCCAGTTCGGCACACCCCTCGGGCGGTTCGTGGCCCTAGGAGGAGGAGGAGGAGGGGGAGGAGGAGGAGGGGCGGAGGGGGAGGAGGAGGAGGAGGAGGAGGAGGAGGAGGAGGAGGAGGAGGAGGAGGAGGAGGAGGAGGAGGAGGAGGAGGAGGAGGAGGAGGAGGAGGAGGAGGAGGAGGAGGGGGAGGAGGAGGAGGAAGAGTTGGAGGAGGAGGAGGAGGAGGAGGCGGCGGAGGGGCAGGGAGCAGCGGGAGGAGAGAGGGCAGGGGAGCAGCCAGGGCGAGGCTCCACCGAGCGAGCCAGATTTCACGGGCTGCACGTCGGCGGCGAGCGAGGGGGGGGGCAGCTTAGAGGCTTGGAACGTTGGGCACCAACACCAACGCAGGGGGGTGCCTCCACAGGGGGAAGATGATCCTAGAAAAGGTCAAACTGTTACCACCATCGCCGAGATCGGGATCTTCTTCCCTCGGTGGAGGCACACCGCCGATCTGGGTGTTGGTGTCAACCTCTGGGCCTGCGAGCAGTGAAACGGAGGAGGCCTTCGCAGAAGACGGCGGGACTTTTCAGAAACCCTCGCGCCCTCTGAAAGGTTATTATCATGTTTCCTGGGAAGGCTTAGGAAGCTTATCAGAAGGCCGGGGGACATCCTTCCTTCTCCTCCCTCGTCCTCCCTACCCAGGAAGGTTTCCTCCCTCATCCCTCCTCCCTACCCTCGAGGGCTTCCTCCTCCCTGCTCTGGAAAGTCTCCCTCGTCCCTCCCTGCTCCCTCCCTCCTCCCTCCTCCACAATGACACCATCTGAATACTACTCTCCTCTCTCCCCTGATGACGTCCGGAAGATGTCCGGCCCCCGTCCGCGTATGGTTTTCTACACAGGATTCCCGGGAGATGGGTGCCCGCTTTGATGTTTTACAGCATGTTGCTCCCGCTGAGGCGCTTGCCTCATTTTTGGGCTTCCGCTCATTTCGAATTCTGCTCCCGCTGCGGCGCTGGCTTCATATCCGCGCGTACGCTCGTTCCAACTCGTGCTCCCGCTGCAGCGCTGGCGTCAAGATTTCCAGTGCCATGCCACGGCATGCAATGCAATGCTACGTGGTGTTCCGCTGTGCGATGTCATGCCTGCAGCTGCAATGCTCGGATATGCAGTGTTTGACTACGCAATGCCACGCCATGATATGCCATGCTACGATTTGATATTCAACGCCATGCTATGCCATGTTATGTTCTGTGCCGCTGTGCGATGCCACTCTATGCGTTGCAATGCTTTGTGATACAAATTTTCGCTACGCAACGCCACTTCACACTATGACATACTATGCTCTGGCGTGATTTTCTACGCTCTGCTACGCCGTGCTCTACGATGCATCGCGCACCCTTTCGGGATCATTGCCCGGTTGACATCCAACTGTGCGAAGAGAGAGGAGATCTACGCCATGGTGAGGGATGGGAGGGAGGGGTAGGACGTCAGCTATGACGCCAGCGCACCTACTTAGCTTGTCCCTCCTCCTCTCTCGTCCCTCCTCCCTCCCCCCCATCCCTCCCCCCCTCCCCCTTCCCCCCTCCCCCTCCCCACCTCGCCCCTCTACAATTACACACTATGAATACTACTCTCCTGCCTCCCCTGGTGACGTCCGGGAAACGGCCGGCCCCCCTCTGCATACGGCTTTTTACATATAAGATTCCGGGGAAACGGGTGTTCGCTGGGTTCTTTGTTAAGAATGCTGGTCTCGCTCAGGCGCTGGCTTCATTTCCGTGCCACCTCTCGTTCCGAGTCGTGCTCCTTCTGCAGCGCTGGCATCATTATTTCCAGCACCATGCCACGGCATGGTTTTCTGTCTTCCAAATAGACTCCCAAATCTAGAAAATGCCCCGCCGAAAAAAAACATCGGAAGTGATTCTACATTCGGTGTCGATTCGTTGATTTTTAGGCCGCAGAACCCTCCACTGCGGGGCGTCGCCACCCCATGCTATGTCATGCTACGCGCTAATTTTCAACACAATGCTATGACATGTAATGCTTTGCCATGCTGCGACATCCGATTGTGCGAATAGACAAGCGATATACGCCATGGTGAGGGATGACGGGGAGAAGTATAACGTCAGATATGACGAGAACGCACCTAGCTTGCCCCCTCCCCTCCCCCTCCGCCTCCCCTTCCCCCCCCTCCTCCACCTCGCCCTCCCCCTCGTCCTCCCCCTCCCCCCTCCCCTTCCCCCTCCTCCCCCCTCGCCCTCCCCCATGCCCTCCCCCTCCCCTTCCTCCCCCCTCCCCCCTTCTCGTCCCTCCTCCCCCCCCCCCTTCCCCCCCTCCCCCCTCCCCACTCACACCCCCTCCTCCCACCTCGTTCTCCCCTCCCCCCTCCCCCTCCCCTTCCTCCCCCTCCCCCCTCGCCCTCCCACTCGCCCTCCCCCTCCACAATTATCCAATATGAATACCGCATAGACCACCCTTCGGGTGATAAGGAGGCGAGGGGGGGGGTACCACCGTCGCACTCGATCGATCTCACTATCGATCTCGCGATCGATCTCATTATCGATCTCATTCGATCAATCTCACAATCGATCTGGCTATCGATCTCACACTCGATCTCACTAACGATCTCATTATCGATATCACAATCGATCCCACAATAGATCTCACAATCGATTTGGCGATCGGTATCACGATCGATTTCACATTCGGTCTCACGATCGATCTCACTACCGATATCACTATCGATCTCATTCGATCGACCTCACAATCAATCTCACAATCGATCTCACATTCGGTCTCAGTATCGATCTCACTATCGATATCACAATCGATCTCACAATCGATCTCACAATCGATCCGACGATCGATCTCACTATCGAACTCACTATCGAAGTCATGATCGACTTCTCGTTCGATCCCACTATCGATCACACTATCGATAGCACAATCAATATCACAATCGATCTCACATTCGGTCCCACTATCGATCTCACTATCGAACTCATACCGATATCACTATCGATCTCACATTGGGTCTCACTATCGACCTCACTATCGATATCACAATCGATCTCACAATCGATCTCACATTCGGTCTCACTATCGATTTCACCACCGAACTCACCATCATCGCCACCCTCATCATCACCATCATCATCATCGTTGACAACATCATCATCATCATCATCATCATCATCATCACCATCATCATCATCATCATGACCATCATCATCATCATCATCATCATCATCACCATCACCATCACCATCATCATCATCGTCATCATCACCATCATCATCATCATCGACGGGCCACCGACGGGACACCGGCGGGACACCGCGGGGCCCCGGCCGCCTGGAAGGAAATCATTTGGTCCGGCCGCGCCTCAGCCACACGGGACACCAGCGGGACACCGGCGGGACACCGCGGGGCCCCGGCCGCCCGGAAGGGAATCATTTGGCCCGGCCGCGCCTCAGCCACAGGAGACTTTCTCTCGCCCGCCCACGCAGCTTCGCCTCGCCCGCACGCACGGCGCGCACGAACACGGAACCGAAATCGATTTCCCGGTAGGGGGGCTCTCCGTTCCACTTCGATCTCACCCCCTCACCTCCGACTACTCTCCCTCTTCCCCTGATGACGGCTTGGGTGTAGGCGCCCCCCCCCGCGTAGTGTTTTTTTACAGACAGGTTTCCCCGGAAATGGGTTTTCGCTTGCATTTTGTTCAAAAATGCTGCTCTCGCTGAGGCGCCGGTCTCATTTTCGGGCCCCGTTCGTTCCGAATCGTGCTCCCGCTGCAGCGCTGGCATCATTTCCGCCGGCGCCTGCACGCCCGGGCCGGTGCCCGGGCCGGCGCTCGCGCCGGGTCTGGAGCCGGTTCCGGTCGGCGCCGGAGAATCGACTTCCGAGGCGGCGCCGAAAAACGGACACTCCAATCCACATTTTTCTTTTGAAAATGATGACTTTCTGCTTCCGGCGCCGATTCCGGCGCCGCCCGGGAGGCCTCCTCAGCCGATTCCGACGCCCGGGCCGGCGCCCGAGCCGGCGCCCGGGCCGGACGCCCGAGTTAGCGCCCTGGCCAAAGCCCAGGCCCGGTCCGGAGCCGGTTCCGCCCGGCGCCGGAAAATCGAGTTCCGAAGCGGCGCCGAAAAAAACCCATTCCAATACACATTTTTTACTTAACAGCGAAGACTGATAGGTTTCTACTGGTGTCAAAGGAAAGCATCTGATGACTCAGAAAGGAAGTCTGGGCGGCATCCAGACAGCGAGGGCCGGGCTCAGGGCTGGGCTCGCTTTAAGCAAACAGTCGCACACTTCGATCGTGCTCTTCGACCTCCCAGAACTCCATTCCCGGGCCACATTTTGAATCCCCGGAGCCAACTGTAAGCCACTTCGTGCTCTTCGACTTCCCAAAACTCCATTCCCGGGCCACATTTTGGATGCCCGGAGCCAACTGTAAGCCACTTCGTGCTCTTCGAATTTCCAGGATTCCATTCCCGGGCCACATTTTGAATGCCCGGAGCCAACTATAGGCCACTTCGGTTCTTGGACTTCCCGGAACACCACTCCTGGGCCACATTTTGAATGCCCGGAACCAACTGTAGGCCACTTCGTGCTCTTCCATATCCCAGAACTCCACTCCCGGGCCACATTTTGAATGCCCGGAGCCAACTGTACGCCACTTCGTGCTCTTCCACTTCCCAGACTTCCAAGAGTCATCATCTTCATCATCTTCATCAGCATCGTCCCCGTAGCCTTCTTGGCTACAGCCCTGCTTTCGAAGATTTCCTTTTCAAAAGAACTGCGCAGCGCCTACTGCACACCTTAATGCCAGGACATGCTGATAGTTCTCGGTCTGGAACTCGCAGCATTAGACCTCAATGGATTTATACAAAGATCTCATTTGGAGATACCGCTATCGAAAGCAATGTTTCTACTGCTACTACCACTGTTCCCATCACTCGTACTCGTTCACTCCACACACTACAACTACTACTTCACTGTTACCACTACTACCATCACTACTACTTCTACTGCTACTACTACTGTTACTAATACTGCTGCCGCTGCTGTTGCTGCTGCTTGTGTAGCTATTGCTATTGCAACTACTGGCAGTGCCACTGCGACTGCCGCTGATGCTGCCACTGCGACTACCACTGCGAATCCGAATGCGACTGCGAGAACACCAGAATTCTACAACAGCACTCTTACATGAATACCACAGGCAATGTTTCCAGCTATGCTTCTACACATCGCTGTTAGGTTGCTTTGCCGGGATAATCTTTTGAAAATGCTGAATTCCTGCTTTTGGCGCCCGGGAAGCCTCCCGGGCCGATTCCGGCGTGCTCCCGCTCGTTCCCAATCGTGCTCCCGCTGCAGCGCGGGCCCTATTTCCGCGCTTCCGTTCGTTTCGACTCGTGCTCCCGATGCAGCGCTGGCGTCATTTCCCGTCCCATGCCACGGCATGCGATGCAATGCTAAGTTGATACTACGCTTCGCGGTGCTCTTCTACGCCATGCCATGCCGTGCTCTACAATGCATCGCGTACCCTTTCGGGATCATTGCCCTGCTCGACATCCGACTGTGCGAGTAGAGAGGGGATCTGCGCCATGGTAAGGGATGGGAGGGAGGGGTAGGATGCCAGATATGACGCGAGCGCACCTAGTTTGCCTCCTCCCCCTCCCCCCATCTCGTCCCTCCTCCCTCCCCCCCCCCGAAGGCGGCCGTGGGGCACAGATCTCGCAGGATCAGCGCCTTCTGCGCGGCCACCGACGCCACGGCATGCCGCCCCTGCGAGCTGTCCCAGACCTGGGCGAACCCCCGCCCCCCGCCCGCGGGGGGCGCGGCGGACGAGCGCCGGCCTCGTCGCCGCTGGCTGTTTACGTGAACGTTTTCTGATTCGGCGTTTCGACATTGGGCGGACGAGGAGGAGGAGGAGGAGGAGGAGGAGGAGGAGGAGGAGGACCAGTGCAAACCCAAGAGTCATCAACGATGCTGAAATAAACCCTCCCTCCAAGCCCCCTCTTCATAGGACTATACAAGGCTGCATTTCCATTGAGGGAAATGCCCTGTTGGAAGACAACCGTTTGAAGACCCTGAAGCATGCCAAAACATTGTTCTCGGGATCCCAACGCCGCGGATCAACCTTACTGTTGCGTTTTAGCGATCCTGATTCGTGCCAGAACGCCAATCTTGGGACTTCAACACTGCGAATCAATGTAACTGTTGCGCCCGCAAAATCCAACATCCTTCAAAAACGTCGCATTTAATAGTTTGATCATGGGGATCTGTGGAACTCTTGCGAATAGGGAAAAGAGTGTGCGTGGCGCTTAGGCGGGAACCACATTTTGAAAACCACCCGCCCTCAACCCGAAAAACTTCTGCAAATGTTTACAACGAATGTGCGCGGCGCTGAGGCAGGAACCACATTTTGAAAACCACCCGCCCTCAATCCGTGAACCTCTAGCGTTATTTACAACGAATGCGCGCGGCGCTGAGGCGGGAACCACAATTTGAAAACCACCCGCCCTCATTCCGTGAAACTCTTGCATTCTTTACAACAAATGCACGCGGCGCTAAAGCGAGAGCCGCATTATGAAAAACACTCGCCATCAATCCGTGAATCTCTCGCATTCTTTACAACGAATGCGCGCGGCGCTAAAGCGAGAGCCACATCTTGAAAACCACCCGCCCCAAACCCGTGAAACTTTTGCACATGTTTGAAATGAACGTGCGCGGCGCTGAGGCGAGCGCCCCATGTTGAAAACCAACCACCCCCAATATGTGAAACTCTTGCAAATGTTTAAAAGGAATGCACGCGACGCTAAGGCAAGAACCACAATTTGAAAACCATCCGCCCTCAATCCGTGAAAACTCTTGCATATGTGTAAAACGAATGCGCGCGGCGCTAAGGCGAGAGCGACATTTTGAAAACCACCCGCCCAATTTGTGAAGCTGTTGCCAATGTTTAAGCTTCAGGGCCATACATGGTGAGGAAGTCTCAGACGAAACGCACGGCCCGCCCCAAAAACTAGCCCCAGGGTGCGACGGGTAGAAGTTGCATATGAGGAACAGAAATGTAAGAGGAGGAGGAGGACGACGAGGAGGAGGAGGGGAGGAGGAGGAGGGAGGAGGAGGAGGAGGAAAAGAAGCCGGATGAGGAGGAGGATCGTCAACATGAACTTAGTAGGTGTCGACACTGGGCGGAATGGAGTGGGGGGGAGGTGGGGGGGTCTGGCTTTGGATCTGTGCTCAGTGCGACGTCTTGCAGCAGTGCGTCCTCTGGGGTGAGGCCCCACCTGCCTGAAGCAAGACAATGAGCAAGAAAACGACGACATCGATGACTCGGGCGTTTGGAGGTCGTGGGCCCCCGTCAGAAACTTCTCCACGCTAAGGCTGGACTCCACTCGAAATTCTTGTCGAAACGCATAAAAAAGGAGGGGGCAGGAGTGATAATGCAGAAGCGGGCAACGGGAAGACGGCTGAGGGAGGGTGGAGGAAGGGAGGGAGGGAGGGAGGGAGGGTTCTGGATATGCCTGGAAAGTCTTGTCATACCGCGCAACAGGAAACATGTTAGCCAGCGTGGACCCCCCACACACACACACACAAATTGTGTTTCTAGCAATCTACCCTGTGCAGTATGTGTGGAACATTAGATGCGGTGCAGTCTATGCAGTACAACATATGGTGCGTTCCCGATTGTTATGTTACCGGCCTCTTGGTCCTTGGTTTACCACGGCACCAGGGGTAACCCCAACAATATCTCCCTCAGTATCAGCTTCGCGCGTAAACCCTGTGTCACGAATGTATGCTCGAGAATCCCTGACAAGGGTCGCCACGGTCAATCCACACATGTTCGCATAGGCCGTCGACCTTCGGAGAACCGATTTGTATTGACCACGGCCCCGCGAAGAACCTTCCCAGGGATCGGCCGGCATCCCCCGAATCGCGCAGTTCGTGCCTCAAGGAAGTGCACTCCTCGGAACCCAGGGTCCCGAGGATGCGTCAGGTGAAGCGGGCCTGAGCACCTCGAGATGCGCACATTGGAACCCAGAGCTTAAGAGGAGGTCCCAGGCGGCATCGGACAGAGCACCTCGAGCCAGGGCAGCCCGGAGGGGCTCCGAGCACCTCGCGAACCGCGTCTTGGAGCCCAGAGCTGGGAGGACGTCTCGGGCGGCATGGGACAGAGCACCTCGAGTCAAGGCGACTCGAAAGGGTTCCGAGGATGTACCAAGCGAAAAGGGTCTGAGCACCTCGTGAACCGCATCTTGGAACCCAAAGTGCGAGGACGTCTCAAGCGAAAGGGGCCAGGGCACCTCCAGTCAGGGCACCTCGGGGCCAGGGGGTCCGGGGATGTCTCAGGCGGCACGGGCCTGAGCACCTCAACAGCCACATCTTGGAAACCAGAGTTGTGAGGATATCTCAGACAACGGACCAGAGCATCTCAAATCAAGGTATCTCGGAGTCCGGTTTTCCGAGGATGTCCGGGGCGAATATAACATCGGGTACGGATATATCGAGCATCTCGGAAATCTGGCGGATCTGGGGGATGTATCAGGCGCCGCGGCCTTCTCAGAGCGCTCTGGAACGCTCTGAGAGCGTTCTGGAAGGCTCTGGGATGGATTTATGCTCGTCCTAACCCCGTCCGAAAGTATGGAGAGGGGGAGGCGGGAGCATGGAGCTGGAGCTGCACGAGCCGAGAGGGGGCCGGCGGCGGAAAGGGGGGTGGAGGGATTTTTGGATTGCGACTCTGATGAGGCTCGCGGCCTGTCAGAAGAGGGGTGTTGCAGGATGTTGCAGGCCAGATCTCCGCAGTTGCGAGGCACGCACCGCGGCGACGATTGAAGCCTCACTCACCCCAGGCCGTCCCTGGGCGATGGAGGTCGGCTTGGGTCAAAATCAAGACCCCCCTCGCCTAAGGTCTTCGGGGGGGGGCTCCTGCAAAACGGCGCAGCTGAATCATCAACCAATGCGCCCCCGCGGCCTCTCAGAAGAGGGAGGGGGCAGGGAGCTGGGGAGGGAAGAATGGGGAGGGAGAGGCGGGAGGATGGAGCTGGAGCTGGACGAACCGAGAGGGGGCCAGCGCTGGGGCTCGGCAAACTCGCGAGGGAGCCCTGGAGATGGATCGGCCCCGGCGCCACACGACGGGGGGAGGCGGGGGAGGGAGGCGGGGGAGTGGTGGGAGGAACACGTCTCATTATTTTCGGCGATCACGGGCACGATAGGGGGGGGGGGCAGGGGGCCAGGGGGGGGTACAATGTAACGCCTCCCCCCCACCGTGCGCACGGCGGCAGCGCCTGGAGCGCACTGGGGGGGGGGGAGGGGCGTTGCGTTGTAGGGGGGGGGAGGGGGGAGAGGGGGATGCAATGCCCACGATGCCCCAATCGATAAGGAGACACGCTCGGGGAGGCGAAGAGAAGAGCAGGACGGAGGAGGGAGGGAGAGGAGAGGGCGCGCGTCCGTCCCCGGCCGGACCCGGTTCGACGGGAAGAAGGGCAGCCACTCCGGCGTGGTCGTGAGGGCGCGCATGACCTCAGACGGGGCAAACGCGCGCCGTCTTGGCACGGACAAGCTTGCGACTCGACCCGCCGTCCTCGTCGCCATCCCAGCTGCCCTCCTCCTCATCCTGCTCCTCGTCCTCCTCGTCGCCCTTCTCGTGGCAACCCCTTGCGCGGCCTCCTTATCCTCCTCTCCCCCCTTGAAGCCGGCCTTGCCCTGCTTCTCGCCCTGGTCATCCTCTTCGCGACCCGGCTCCTCCCCGTCACTACTATCGTTGTCATTATCCTCTTGTTTCTCCCTCTTCTTCTTCGTAATCATCATTCCAAGCCGCTCCAGGCAACATGATGGACCCACGAACCCGGAAAGGGATATAGAACCGCATGCATGGAAACGTTTTCACGACACCGTATTGGGCGACGGGCACTTCCACGAGACACCCCGCGAAACATTCCACGAGACACGGGCGACCGTTTTCAACGTTTTCCTGGAAACATTCCACGAGACACCCCGCGAAACAGTCCACGAGACACCCCACGAAACATTCCACGACGACAGGCAACCACTCAACCAAGGCGGTGTGGTCGTGCTGGGGAGTGGTCGTGCTGGGGTGTGGTCGTGCTGGGGGGTGGTCGTGCTGGGGGGTGGTCGTGCTGGTCGTGCTGGGGGGTGGTCGTGCTGGGGCGTGGTCGTGCTGGGGCGTGGTCGTGCTGGGGCGTGGTCGTGCTGGGGTGTGGTCGTGCTGTGGTGAGGTCGTGCTGGGGTGTGGTCGTGCTGGGTGATGGTCTTGCTGGGGTGGGCTCGTGCTGGGGTGGGGTAATGCTGGGGTGTGGTCGTGCTGGGGTTTGGTCGGGCTGGGGTGGGGTCGTGCCGGGGTGGGGTCGTGCTGGGGTGGGGTCGTGCTGGGGTGTGGTCGTGCTGGGGTGTGGTCGTGCTGGGGTGTGGTCGTGGAAACGCATATAGAACCGCATGCACGGAAATGTTTTCACGACACCGTATTGGGCGACGGGCACTTGCAATGCTGAAGGTGTCGATGGCGATGTGCTGTGCCAGAGGCTGTGCTGTGCCGTGCTGTGCTGACTTGGAATTTGCCATGCTGCGCTGAACTGTGCTGTGCTCAATTGTTGATCAACTCGCCCGTGGCCTCCGAATCCTGGCCGAACTGATGTGGATCCTAAGCCCGAGCTGTCTGAACGCATAACTCGCCCGTGAGCTGGTCGCAATCGAAACGTGCGGGGCTCTCAACCAGCTCGAATTCAAGATCCGTGGAGAAATCAAATCTATACGCACATACGTAAAAGCACATGGAGAAATCAAATCTATACGCACATACGTAAAAACACATGGATTCGTGCACCTGGAGAGGGCAAATCTACAGGCACATACATAAAAACACACGGGTTCGTGCACCTGGAGGAGGCAAATCTCTGGGGCGCCCAGATCCCTCAAGTTCTACAAAACAAGCGATTCGCTCGAGACATCCTCGGTAACTCTGCGGAGCAAGCGTTTCGCTCGAGAAAATCCTCAACACACGAAAGAGTGGCCCACACCCTGTGATTTATCGATCGGGATTTCAAAAACAAGCGTTTCGCCTGAGACATCCTCAAATTTTAATCCGCCGGCCCACCTCGACCTCGATATTTATCACGGAAAGAATCCGCCGGCCCACCTCAGTTGAGGCACCGGGGACAGGTTTACCACCTAAAAGAGAACCCTGGGCCTGCGCCCTTTCCGGGAAAAACTTCTCCAACACCAAAACCAACTGGTTTGCCCTCGTGGTGATTGGTGCTGCTCGCTCCGCACCTCCCTACACCTCCTCAGACCACATCCGTCTCGCACTCGGAATCGTAGTCATTAGCTGTAGCCCCTAGCATCGAAGACACAGCACTCTGAAGCAGACCAACACTACCATGCAACAGCACAAAACTGGTTTGTTGTAGTCATAGTGGTTGGCGCTGCGCGCTTGGCACCGCCCTGGACCTCTTCAAACCGCATTTGGCTCGCACGCGGAATCGTAAGCATGAGTTCAAGCTATAGCAGCAACGCAGCGGCACCCCGAAGCATATTCATACTGCATAGCAGCGAAACACAGCCGTGCACAACAACAAACACCCTGTAGTGAAGAAACACCGGTGTTGCTGTCGTCGTCGTGGCTGGCACAGCGCGCGTCGCACCTCCCTGACCTCCTCATAGCCCGAATCGGCTTGCACGCGGAATCGCGAACCCAAGCAATCGCAACGAAACAAATCGCTGAGCACATCAAAACTGCAAGGCAGCACGCCAGCAATCCAGGCATAACACCGCAGTGCTAACTAAACTGCCCTGCGCGACAACAAACTGCTGGCGTTGTGGTGGTAGCTTGTGCTGCGCGCGCCGCACCTCCCTGGACTTTCTCCAACAACATTCGACCCGCACGTGGACCATCAGCATCCGCTCAAGCCCTGGACGCGGAATAACGACACTCCGACGCAGAGCAGACATGCCTTGCAAGAAGAAACCGTTACGCAAAAAAAACCAGCAACTCCGGCAACAACTGATTTGCGGTCGCCGTAGTGGTTGGCGATACGCGCTGCGCACCTCCCTGCGCCACCACAGACCGCATTTGACTCGCACGCGGAATCATAGTCATGAGCTTAAGCTCTAGCAGCGAATCAAGGGCACACACCACCGCATTGCAAACACTGCAATGCGCCAACATGATGGAGCCACGAACCCGGAAAGGGATATAGAACCGCTTGCATGGAAACGTATTCACGACACCGTATTGGGCGACGGGCACTTCCACGAGACACCCCGCGAAACATTCCACGAGACACGGGCGACCGTTTTCAACGTTTTCCTGGAAACGTTCCACGAGACACCCCGCGAAACAGTCCACGAGACACCCCACGAAACATTCCACGACGACAGGCAACCACTGAACCAAGGCGGTGTGGTCGTGCTGGGGAGTGGTCGTGCTGGGGGGTGGTCGTGCTGGGGGGTGGTCGTGCTGGGGGGGGTAGTCGTGCTGGGGGGTGGTCGTGCTGGGGCGTGGTCGTGCTGGGGCGTGGTCGTGCTGGGGCGTGGTCGTGCTGGGGTGTGGTCCTGCTGTGGTGAGGTCGTGCTGGGGTGTGGTCGTGCTGGGGTGGGGTAATGCTGGAGTGGGGTCGTGCTGGGGTGGGGTCGTGCTGGGGTGTGGTCGTGCTGGGGTGTGGTCGTGCTGGGGTGGGGTCGTGCTGGGGTGGCCCACACCCTGTGATTTATCGATCGGGATTTCAAAAACAAGCGTTTGGCCTGAGACATCCTCAAATTTCAATCCGCCGGCCCACCTCGACCTCGATATTTATCACGGAAAGAATCCGCCGGACCACCTCAGTTGAGGCACCGGGGACAGGTTTACCAACTAAAAGAGAACCCTGGGCCTGCGCCCTTTCCGGGAAAAACAACCGCACTGCAGCCAACAAGTGTGGTTCCGTCGCGCTTCACACCGCCCTGGACCTCCCCAAGCCACGTTCGGCTCGAACGCGGACTCATGCTCACAAGTTGAAGCTCTAGCAGCGAAGCAGCGGCTCTCCACAGCATGCCACAAGAACTGCGTCGTTGAACAACGTCCATGGAAAAACAACGGGAATGCAACACAAACTGGCTTGCTGTCGTTGTCGTGGTTAGCGCTGCGCGCGTCACAGCTCCCTGGACCTCCTCGAACCACATTCGGCTCGGACGCGGAATCAACATCAGAGGCTCAAGCTCTGGCAACGAAACAGCGGGAACTGTATTGCTGTCGGCGTCGTGGTTGGCGCTGCGCGCGTGGCACCTCCCCGGACCTCCTCAACACGCATTCGGCTCACACGTTGAATCACACTCAACAGTTCAAGCTCTGGCATCGAAAAAGCGGCACCCCGAAGGAGACCAAACTTGCATTGCAAAAATGGCGATGCAACAACAACTGCAATGCACACTTAACGGTTTTGATGTCGTCGTCGTCGCAGGGGCTGCGCGCTCGCACCACCCTGGATCTCGTCAACCCAAATTCGCTCCAACGCAGAATCATAGTCACAAGCTCAAGCTCTAGCAGCGAAACACCGGCTCTCCGAAACAGAACAAGGCAGCATTGCAAACAAAACAGCACTGCAACAACAATGCTCAGCAACATGTGTTGCTGTAGCTGCCGTCGTAGTTGGCGCTACGAGCGTCGCACCTGCCTGGACATCAAACCACCTTCGGCTCGTATGCAGAATAACACGCATACCTGAACGCCTTAGCAGCGAAACGGCGGCCCTCCGAAGCAGACCGAAACTGCAGTGCAACACAGTGCCATACACAAAACTGCAATGCAATAAACAACTCTGTTGCCTTCGTGGTTGGCGCTGCACGCTTCGCACCCCCCTGGACCTCCTCAGACAGCGGTCGACTCGCACGCGGAATAATCATCGTAAGCTCAAGCACTGCCAAGGAAACAGCGGCTCTCCGAAGCAAGCCAAAATTGCATTGCAACACGCACCCACATATACTGCAATGCAACACAACTGCAATGCAACGGACCAATTTTGCGGTCGTCGTCGTGGTTGGCGCTGCGCGCTTCACACCTCCCTGGATCTCCTCAAATCACAGCATAATCATAAGCTCAAGCTCTGGCAGTGAAACAGCGCCACTCCGAAGTGCAAGCTAAAGGCTGAAGCTTCAAACTTACTCTTTTGAAACTTGGCGTCTCACCGTGCGCACCACGGCTAACATGATCAACCCACGAACCCGGAAAGGAATATAGAAATGTAAAGCATTGCAACATTTCAAAGACACCTGATTGGGCGACGGGCACATGCAATGCTGAATGTATCGATGATGATGTACTGTGCCGAGGGCTGTGCTGTGCTACGCCGTGCTGAACTGCGATGTGCCATGCCGCGATTGTGCTCTAAGCTCGAGCTGCCTGAGCAGATGGTAGCTGCCCCAGAACTAATCGACAGAGGGAACATGCCAGGAGGACGCGCCGCGGAACGTCCCAAGGGACGCGCCAGGCGACGTGCCAGGGGACGTGCCATGGGCACGCACCGCGGGAC